GCCATCCCTGTGTCATGAGTAGAGTCCAGGTGGCAGCAAGCAGTGCCTGGTGGGGATGCCCATATAAGAGCAAATTTGAGCTCCAGATCATAAACTAAACCCTCCTTTTTCATTTACTCATCTGACCCGGCGGTGCTGGAGCTGATAATGCTGGTTTCCTTTTAAGCAGAGGCTAGTCATAAATAAAATAAACCAGGCGTGCTTTGTGTTTCCACTGCCTTGCCTTTCATCCCTGCTCCTCAAAGCGGCACAAAGGGAAGTCCTGAGCGACAAGCAGGACATGTGCAGGGACAGCAACAGCTCCGGGCTTGGCCTCAGTTGCACTTGTGCCAGTTCATGGGACAAGTGGGACAGGGGTGGGATCGCTTTTCCCCTTTTATCTGCATGGGGAAAGGGTGCAACGGGAGGCAGAGATTTTGCTTGCAGTGATTCACATTCACTGCGCTGCCCAGGACCAGACCAGGCTCCCTTCCCCACTTATTGGCCAACAAGCATAAAACCAGATTTCATACCCAGATGACTGATGGGGAAGAGGATGTGACCTCCCCTTCCCCAGCATCAGTGCCTAACTGGGAGGACGATGGGACATGCCAAAAAGCAGCCAAAGGATGGAAGATATGATAGATTCTGGCCCCAGAAGCCATCAGCACCAAGGCCATCCCCAGCGGCTTGTTAGTGGAGCTGACACTCCAATGAGGTGCAGGAAGCTCAGTCAACACCAGGCAGAGTGTGCTAGGGTGTCAGTGTCTCCTTGTTTCCCTTGCCACCTTACAGGGTGTGATGTTTTCTTTCCTTGCTCTCTGACAAGCTGCCTGGGGATGTTTAGGCTGAGTGGCTGCAAGGGACTCCTTCTGCAAGGCACGCTGAGAAAGTCTCCTCAAAGCAGGTTTGAGAGGTGCAGGCTGCAGAGCTGACCCCCATCCCACAGAATAGCAGGTGTTGCATCAAGATCTTCAAGAGTTAGACCCATGTGTGGCTTTTTGTATGATTATTGTTTGTCTCCGGGATTTGCCTGGAGTCTCCAGCCCTCTTCTGGCCAGTCCGGTAAAGCACAGCAAGGGAGGACTGCAGAAGTCTAGATCCCAAAGCCTGCTGCACCGAGGTTTAATTCAAAAGAGTTGTAGCCATAAATAGTGTTTCCCTCTCCAGCACTAAGCCTGGAGGAGCATTTGCACCATCCAGCCCTGGCAGACAAGAAGATGACTGGTCTCTGGATGCTGGCTGTAAACAAGCAGCGCTGGAGAGAGCTCCCAACCGGGAGCAGGGAGTTAACGCAGAGCTGTAGGTCTGGGGGAAAGGGAATCAGGGTGAGCTGGCAAAACAACGTGCCAAAATCCTTCCCAGAGCAACACGCTCCTGAGGCGGTGCTGCTGGAGCAGAGGGCTGACTCCTGATTGCACGGGGGAGGTTTAGGAATTCCCTGGAGAAACTGGAATGGCTGTGGAAGAGGTATAAATACTGACAAGTGGCAGAGAAGCAAGTCTGGAGAAGCCTCACACAATGACACATGCTGGCGAAAGCACAGCCCCTGGTTTGGTGGGGAAGGATCCGGGAAACCCACTTGGATTTGGGATAACATGCTCACCCTCTGAGAAGGAGCTGAGCCTGCCTGGAGCAATGCCCGAAGCTCTACTTGCACCCGAGCTATTGTTTCACTATATTTTAATTTCTGCAAAGCTGTTGTCTTAAAACAAAGACCATAGGGGGTTAGGAAAGACATTGAGTCACTCTGGCTCCAGAGATGGAGGAAAAGGCCTGAGTCCTTGGGCTGGAGAAGGGAGTCATGGTGCTCTCCCCATGCAGGTAATGGGTGGTGGCTGGATGGGGATGCTCAAAGCTATGGCATCACTTGCAGTCTCACTGTTGTGCCCAGCCTGGCAGGTAGTTAGAACCCACCACTAAAAATACATCATTTCTCAGCTTAATATGAAGTTATTCCACAAGACTGCAGGTCTGGAGGCCCCTGGGCTAGCCCTAAGAGAGTTAGCCAAGAGTGATTCCAAGAGAAGCCCAGCTCTGGCTGTATCCCTGTGGCCACATCCACCCTGCTATGGCCACTAGGTACCAAAGCAGCTTTGCAAGTCCATGGGCCACACAGGAGCACTGGGCTGGCTTGTTTGCATTGGTCTATTTAAGGAGCATGGGTTGATTTGTGATCACAGGCCTCCAGCAGGGTTATATTGCTGAGGTCAAGTGGATACTATCTATGTATGTGAGTACACATATGGGTGAATATTAATTGGAGACAGGGCTGTGCAATAATGCCTGAGGACACATATAGCAACATAAGGCAGGCATGGGCACAGCTAGGTCTGTGTGCTGATGTTCCTGGCTGGCAGAACACACTCAGATAGGGGACAACATACCCACCACTCACATCAGGGCTCGACTGAGTTAACCATGGGGTGGACACGTCTTTCTTACAAGACCTCACAGTAAAACCTAGGCAGAGCCAGGCAGGACACAAGGAGAGGACCCTTGTACAGTGTGTATTGTTGAGCAGTGTCCAGGTCCTGAACATCCAGGCTCTGTGTTTGGAGACCTCTAGAGGCTGATGGAAATTATCACAGGTCTAGAAACGCACCCGGTGTAGCACGGGGGAGCCTTGCATGAGAACTCCCGTGGGAAGTACGGCGCTGAGCTCCTCACTGGGTGTTTCTGCCGCTTTGTTTGTGACAGAAAAACAACGTCTTGGTTGTTTGTGGGACAAACAACCGAGAGCAGCACATGCTTGAGGAAAGGTGCATGGTTGTATGAGCAAATGACTGGCAAATGTATAAGCAGGTCTGCTAATGCCTCCCCTGCAGTTAACCAAACCATCAGTTTACCTCCTTCTTTCCTATATTAGACTTCCTCCACCTCAGCCTGTCTTTTCTGTATCCCAGTGGCACACAATCAGCGTGCTGGAGATTTTTCCATCCATCATCAAGGAGAGGGAAAAGTTATGTCATTAAGAACTAACCACCCAGTGCTGTCTCCAGCATGTGAGATCTTAAACATATTTACAGTTCCTTCCTCCTTGCTAAGCAGACAGATGCTATGACAGCCTCTGAGCAGCAGCACAGAGGCAAATAAAAGTACACCTGTAAAACCAGTTGGTATTTGGGCACCATTTACTGGTGAAACACCACTTGCATCCTTCCCCAGCAACTTTTCTTGCTCTCACTGAAATGCCAACAGGAAACAAAGCCTTGAGTTTTGGGAAGTAGTGAGCATCTCAGAAGTTGCTCTCCCCAAAACTAGAGCAATCTGAATTCCCCTCCCTTCCTTGAGAGTTCTCCCATCTCTCCAAACCTGCCTTCACTGGCTGTTTTTCCATGGGTTGATATCCCCTGCTATCCCACTGCACCCTGACCTGCACTGTGGTGCCCAAGCCTTCCCCAATGCACTGATTTCATTAGCACAGTTGTGATAAAGCTGGCACAGTTATTTAGCTTTCAGCTCACTCCATAGCTATGTGCAGGAAACTGGTTTTGCCCAGCGTCTCAAAAGCAGTTCCTTCTCCATATAGTCCCTTCTCCCTGCAGTCCTTTGCCTGTCTGGCAGGAGAAACAATCAGGGAGGGATGATTTAAGGGTGAAAACACAACTTTGGATTCAGGCCATAAGTAGAGAAGACATACAGCTGGGCATGTTGGAGGCGCCAATGTCCAGCATCCTATGGAAGCCCAAGGGGGGATGGGTGGGATGTCCCTGGCCCTGGCACCACCACCTCAGCACCTCTGCTGCTGGCTCACAGATTCCTTGCATGTCCCAATGCTGCCATCTGTAGCACAGAGCTCTGCTCCACTGCTCCCTGGCACAGAGCAAGGAGACCACAGCTCAGCTTCACAAGCTTCAGTTCTGTAGGAGTCCAAATGGGCAAATCCCAGCTGGGACTTGGCTTTTTCAGCCCCAAGAGAGGTTGTTGGCTTCCATGTCCACTGGAGTGCATTTTTAATCATCTGCCAAGGGCACCAGAGCCTGGGATAGATGCTCTCATTCTCCTTATCTGCTGGAAATAAAATAAACACATTAAGTCACATCAGCACTGCAGCCCAAACAGTAACGAAGTTATAACCACAAAAGCCATGGATTCCTGTAGGACCAGCCAGGAAGCACTGCAGCCTCCCATGCATGCAGGGATGGGGCCAGCATCTGGTTTTAATGCATTTTCCCTGTGAAGAGGAGGGGGTGCATCCATCACTCCCTTCCCTGGCTCACTTCACCCAGCTGTACATGCTGACTCTCACTATGAAAATCCCCATCACTGAAATTCATTTCATTGCTCATTTCTTGGTGCTTTTCCATGACAGGAAATATCGGACAAAGGCTCCCAAATCCCTGCATTGTTCCCAGGGTGAAGGGAAGCACAGAGCCAGGGCGTGCTGAGCTCAGCACAGCAGCATCCCGAGTCCCACCGACTCCAGTGCGCTGCGAGGTGGAAAAGCAGCTCTGACAGAGCTGGCATCAGCTTGTTTCAGACCAGGCTGTGACCCACAGAGAGTGAGCAGAAAGAATACAGGGAGAAAAAGAAACCTCTGGCGGTCAGAGTGAAGCTGAGCCCCTGTAGGAGCCACCTTATCTCCTCTGCCACCTCCCCTCTCTCTGGACCTTGCTGTGAATGGGACTGCCAGTATCTCCCTCAGCTTTGTGAGGCTCCATCCATCCTTCCTTCACGCATCACACACAGATCACAGCCTGAATGCCTGTCTGCCCCTTCATTGCTGCACACCAGCTCCATCACACACAGCTCAGGATTGCCTGGTCACCACTGCCTTTGTGCGGGCAGCAGCAGGGCTGGATTAGCCCTGCACGCATGAGCAGGCTGACCCCGCTGGGCAGGCAGCAGGATTTACTGCTCCCCATGTCCCAGCCATCTGACAGCCTGCTCTGAAAGCAAGACCTCAGCCCCTGTTGATGCTAATCCCCACACACGTGGGCTCAAGGCTGGTGGCCTCTATATAGACCCCTCTGGCCATGCACCCAAGGTGGATCTGCAGCACAAGGACAAGCGAGAGGATGGCATTGAGGGTAAGTGCTGGGGACAGGGTCTGGCACAGCCTGGTCTGTCTGAGGGTTATGGCATGGGGTCAGGCAGTGGGTAAAGTGGCACAGATCAAGGCAAGAAAGGTACAAATCCTGAAAGACACGGATGCTACTTGTGGTGCTGCCCTTATTTCAGTCTGGTCCAGACCATTGCAAAACTGTGACCTTCATGGCTCTCGACAAAGGGCAATAGGAAGGATGTTTCATCTTAGTTACACCAGGGCTGGTCTGGGGTAATGCTGCCCTAATGGCAGCACTTCTGGCTAGGAGGGTTTGGGCTGAGGCTGAAATATAACCAATGCTTTGCCATCAGTTCCCTCTGCGACAGCCAACAGCAAAGAGGGAACTGCTGTTTCCTGCGCATATGGTGTGTCTTTTGCTGGGGTTGTTGCAGTGATGACAAGCCAAGGGTCAAGGCAAGGTGAACCTGGGTGCTGCCATCACAACTGGTTTAAAAAAGGATCATCAGCTCTATCAGCTCTCTGTGTTTCACAGGGCTGAACACCAGTGTGGTCAGAGCCTTTAAACGACCATGTGCAGGTTCCCAAAGCTGCCCTCCAAAAGTGGCCAGGCACAACGGTGTGAGGTCGGCCATGGTCATGTCTCAGCTCCTGCCCAAAAACATGCATATCACAAAAATGCATTGGGAATGGGAAATCATGGCAGATAAAGAAACAGGAAGGGAAAGGCAGTGGAGGTGCCAAGGCTGGAAAGATCTTCCCAGTGTGAGCAATAAGTCTGGGAGAGGGGGATGCTCAGAAATGCAAGATCATTAGAGTGCTAAAAAAAGCAGGGTGAAATGGCCAAACACTTCTTATTAAAATGAGTTATTTAATAAAGCTATGTATTATTTAAAATAAAAAAAGATAATTTTCCCAGTCATTTTATGCCAGTTTAAACATGGAGATGGGGAGGAGTAAGTGGAATGGGGGATCAGGCAGGAGCTTATGGGAAGAGTACCCTCACGCAATGCTAGATGAGCACAGGCCGGATGCCGTGTTACACCCATTCCTTGTCTTTCACACCCTGGTTCAAAGCAGATTTTGTATTGCCCAGGCAGGGAGAGCAGCAGAGTGTGTATCTTGCTGACTTTGAAGGCATCCAGGTTCTTTAATTTTTGCTCCCTAATCCCACCCAGCTCTTTATAAAAGACCTCAGAGACAGCAAATCCCACTTCATCCACTGGATGTTAGAGCATCATCATTTCTTATCAATTTAGAGCCACTGAGATTATACAGAAGTGAGAAAAAGGCAGAGGCAGAGTGTGCACCTACATGGGAATGGGGAAGAAAGGAGAAAATGATGAGAGGGTGAGAAAGATGGAGAAGTATAAGGAATAAATAGGGTTGTGCATCTCTCCTACCTTGCCATGCTTCACCATCACCTCCCTGTTGGCAGTTCGAGGCCCTGTACCCAGAGGGGATGAAAGTCAAGGGTGAGACCAGTTCCAGCACAAGCATGTAAGGACACTGCTTGCAGCAACCCCAGCTCACAAGAGCCAGCAGCATCGCTCCATCACATCTTTCTCTCTCTCTCTCTTAGGTTTGAAATTAACTTGCTCTGTGATCCTGGAGACCAAATTGCTCTTCACTTTAACCCTCGCTTCTCCAGCTCCAGGATTGTCTGCAACTCCTTCCTTGCCAACCACTGGGGGAAGGAAGAGGTTAATAACACCTTCCCCTTCAAAGCAAAGGAGTCATTCCAGGTAACCCCATGTCACCTCATAGGCTTCCTCAGGTGGTGGGACAGGAGTGACCCAGCCAATATTGGGGCACTCTGCATGGATCTAGCCCTTTTCTGACAACACTATACCAAGTAACATCCTCTCTCTGGCTCTGTCTCCTGTTAGCATTTCTGTTGTACCCTGCTTTGCTGCCGATTTGCACCCATCTCTGGCACAGACATGCAGAGCTCCAGCAGTAATTCCTGGATGCTCCATTTGTTTTCAATTTAGGCTTTGCTTTATCACCAGTTTCTGCTATCATGAAGTGAATACCTCAGTTATTTCCCTTTTTTTCCCAAAATGAGGGTAAGCAGTGTGTGCGTCAGCTCTGGCAGGGTTGTGTAGATGCACGTACCCAGATCCAGACCCTCACAGACATGATGGCAGCAAGGTCCAGTAAGGAAGTGTGGCCACGTGGTGAACCTAACACAGTCTCTCTTTCAGGTTGAAATCTACTCTGACCAGGACTATTTCCACATTTTCATTGATGAAAACAAAATCTTGCAGTACAAGCATCGGCAGAAGCGGCTTTCATCCATCACCAAGCTGCAGATTCTCAATGATATTGCCATTTCTTCAGTGGAAATCACCAAACGAGGCCTTTACTAGAGAATGGAGTTGGGACAGCCTCGCAGACCATTCCTCCTTAAGCTCCTCATCTAACCAAGGGACCATCTCCTCCATTTCTCCACCCAGCATATACCATCATCAGCCAGGGAGATAGTCACATATGTCCTCATAGAGGAAGTGATGGTCATTCACATCGCATGTCACTAAAACAACACCACGTCACTGACTGTAGCCCAGATCATCAAAGACCTTCTGCCTCTATGCCTTAGGGTGCACAATGGGCTCTGTAGGTCTTTGCTGTTCAACAGCCTGACAGCTCACCACAGCACATAGACATCTGCCTTGATTCGTCTGGACACCTGGAATGTTACCATAGAAGCTGTGCTTGCCCAAGAGTAGGGTATGAGTTAGCACTAGTCCTCAGTTTGCCACATGGTGAAAGAAGTAATAAGTGCAGATATTAGGGATGGAAACAGACATTTCTTCCCAGGAGCTGGGTAAAAATGCTACCAATACTTGACAATAAAATCAAACATGGAAATCCCTGCTGAGACATCCCTCACTGGGCAGATCAATCAGGTTATTCGTTCCCTGCAAAGCTCCAGTACCTGGTGTGAACAAGGGCTGGTGACTGGGCAGGACACAGGCTGCTTGGTTTTGGCACTGGGAAAATACTTCCTTTTTGCTTTATGGGCTAGCACAAAATGAAGGCCCTTTGTAGGTAGAACAGGGTGATAAGATCCAAGATATTTCCAGAGGTTCCTTTCACCAGATGAGGAATGTTTGCTCAGCCTGAGTCCTGCCAACTCCAGGCTTCTTAGATGGGCCCTAAAAGCAATGTAGTGGGTCAGAAAAGGGTAGAAGCTTAAATAGACACATAAAAGGACACGGTCCCTTCATCATACACAAAAAACACAGCTGGACTCCAAACAAAAGTAGATCAGGGTCTAGAAACTATAACAAGTCTGGAACAAACAAAAATGCCATTATTTGTGACATTATTCTGGCTTTTTTTCCCCCCTTTCTCTGCTTTCTTGTTTTCTTTTCTCCTCCTTTTTAGTTGTCTTTCAAGACAATCCACTTGTCCCTTGCACCCTCTTCTCTTTTCCACCCTCTTCCTCGGAGCACAACGTATCCCTGGCTCTTTGGCATGGCCACAGCAGGCTAAAAAGATGTTATTTTTACTTTGTTTTAATTACACGCATCATAAGCAGCGTAGTGTCACAGTGTTAAAATCTGAACAGCAACTCACTCCAAAAATGCAATTACAGCTGCCCCCATATCGCTCCTTGTTCCTCAGACATAAGACAGACCACATTCCTGATGGAAAAAGCAAAGATGATCCCGCCTTGCCAGTCCTTTCCATCAAGGAGAAATTACTTGGTAAGAAGTCAGCCCTGATCCATCCTTGCCTTTGGGGGAGACCTCTGAAGGTCACAGCATTGCTTCAGCCTTTGCTCAGTGCTCAAATTGGCCATTCCCAAACCTTCCCTCTATTTATAGTTTTAAGGACTTATGAGGAAGAGGTGACTGTGTAGCCAACCACAACACATGATGCCACAGAACTGATATTTATGAGACTGCTAAAAAGTCTATAATGTTTTTCCACACTATAAAGTGCCATAACTGGAAACCACCCTGTTCTCATGGCAAAGAGCACAACAGGAACACAAAATGGTCCCAGATGGTATCTCCTCCCTCCAAACAGAGCAGAAAATCCTCTTTGGAAATGGCCAGTCTTGGTTGCACGTCAGGAAGGCTGGAGATGGTGACACTTCCTCTGGCCTGGAATAAATCCATCAGAACAGGGACAAGAGGGTTGGCTCAAGTTCTGGTTGCCACGATGTAATGCAGGTGTTCAACCAACTTTACTCTTACTGGCATCCCTTCAGTAAAACAGGCACAAACAGATTAAAGCAGGCTCCCTGGGATCTCTGTGTCACACATCTGGTAATGCTGAGCTGCATTTGAGAGAAAATGGTCTTTTTATTCTTTGGGGATTGATAGGTCAGTTCTCATGGAGGAAAAGTGATTAAATCATTTATAAGGCTAATACTTTGTACTTATATGGCTCCAAACTCCATCTACAGCCACTGCTGCAGAAACACAGCATGATTTCATTGTTCTCCAGAAGCAGACACCAAAAAAAACTGAGATAGTGGCAGAGATTATGTCCCGATTCCTAAGCATGTTTCCCCAAGCTTCTGCCAGCAGCTGATCTCACTCCATAACCATCTGCACCAAGACAGCCCGATCTCTCCTGACACATCCACAGCACTGCTGCTGCTTTCAGGATTTTATCTGCTGCCTCCTCCAGCCCAAACACGCCCAAGGGTGAAGGAATCATCAGAGCAAGAGAGGTTTGGGGAGCTACAGAGCATGTCTTGGAGGAAAACTCCAGGGCTGGCTGTTAATAGCTCTTTGGCACAGTTTTATGGAGAATGAGAGATGCCCTCCAGGACTGTGATCCTCATCTGCCCCTTAAGGAGGAACTCCAGAGGAGAGTAAAACCTCACAATTATGATGGTCTATTAGACTCTCAGGAGGGGGGTTGGCACATCAGGCTTGCACAGAGGCGTTGCATGCTGGTATTGAGGCAATCAAAGGGAACAAATAAATCCTCCTTCCAAAGTTTAACCAGTCTTCCCATTCATGACCCAGGGTTTGAAACCGGGGAGGGATCCGATGAAGACAAGCTCCTACCCAGGGGTGATTTTCGAGAAGGAGGAAGACTTTTGAAGGGGAAGGAGCAGAGGCAGATAGGACTGCAGCTCTGGGTGGCACCTGCATTTCACTGCCCATTCTAAAGGCTGAGCTTGGTGGTTTTGCTGTGGCCAAATGCAGCACAAGAGCTGGGCTGAAACACTTCCAGAGAGAGCAATTACCATGGCATGGGACCATCCTAGGCAGGATCTGCTTATAAAGCAGCAGTTGCTGCCCTTACATTTACACAGACCAGAGAGGAACACCTCAGAGTTGTCCCTCAGGAGGCAAAGCTGACAGAGGTGGTGACCTCCCACATGGGCTCTTCCCCTTTCCCACCAATTCTCCTCATTTGGGCTGGATCTGCAGAGCTCAGTGAAACGCTCTGACTTGTCTCTAGGTCCATAAAGGGAAGACTCACACTTGTGCTTGAGCTGTGCCAGGAATCCCAGGGCCAAGGTCCCCTCTGGCAGCGTCAGAGCGCTGCAGATGTCCTGAGGATCCTCTGTTGATGCACGATCAGAGAGTGCCCCTTGGTGCCACCGACACTGTGGGCAGTCATCACACACCCCAGCAGCAAGAACCAGCAATTCCCTCACAGGCTGGTGAGCAAACAGCTCCCACATCAGCAACAGTCACACAGTCACATCTCATCAGTGGGGCAGCCACCTGGAGACATTAGACTGAGTAACAGCCTTAGCAAGGGACAGTTGAATATCAGACTCTGGGTCTGGCCTTGAGACAGGAAAGATGGTGTGAAAAAGTACAAGGATTTGTTGCCAGTGAGGAAGGCTTCTAGGAAAGCACAAAAAAGGGGGAAATGTGCAGGTTGCATCTGCCTCATAAACTCTTTCAACAAGCTTCAGTGCTGGAGTTTTAGGTTCTTATACCTAGCTGGAGGGCAGCCCTGGTGAAGAAAGGCAGGAGGAAGGCAGCTATTAACCATTTGACTAACAATTCCCTTTCTCATCCCACTTGAATGCTCCCATAAGCATCTCCTGATGGATAACAGCTGAGTTGCCTCAGAGATCTTCACCTCCCCACTGATCCCAAGCAACTATGTTGTGGTGCAGCTCACTGATCACGGACCCATGACTGTGGCATCTCTAATTTCCCACACCCCCTCCAGCCTCTGTTTTCCCAACACCTTGCCACAGAAATAGCTGCTAGAAGTGCAGACCTTATCAGCAGTGACTTTCTTCCTTGCACCTCTGAGCCCTTACGCAAGAGGCTGCTTATTCAAGAACATGGGCTGTCAGACTCAGTAAATGCTCAAGAGCCACATGTGTTTGCTGGCAGGACTGAGGAACATGAAGGGCAAATGTTCAGCCTTTTTCTGAAGGGTATGATAAAAAGAAATTAAACAAACAACACACGAGAAGAAAGGAGGAGTAACTCTCAGTTCTGGCTGGGAAGAGGCATTTCTGAGGCACCAGGCAGCCCCACATTGCAGTAGAAAGGAGTCTCTGCTGGCAAGCAAAGAGATGTTTCTTTCATTGCATTTAAAGTGAGCTTTATAAAGCCATTTTAACTCGCAGCATCTCCATCCAGAGCCAGCTCAGACAGGAAAGTACCTCTCCCAGGCCTGATCTTACATACATGGTAGCAGGTACCAGCTGCAGACATTAAATGCAGGCTGGAGAGGGATTATTCTATGAAAGAAAGGATCTGCTCTAGAGGTTGAAGAATGAGAAGCTGATGGTATCATTTTGGCAGCTGTGTTGTTGTATATCACCTAAGGAAAGGGTGACAGAAATTAACCTGATGCCGGAATTTACTGGCCCTCCAGTTCTACAGTCTGTTCAAGACCCCCTTGCCAAAGCTAGATGCAATCTATGTTGTCATTCCTTCAAGCTATATAAGCACAGCTACCCAAATCTCTGACTTTACCAGAGCACAAGGCAAGCCTATGGTGGTCAGGATGCTTTCTCTGCACCGTCACACCACTGTAAGGCTGTCTGGGTCTTATAAAGCACTTCAAAACCATAGGGATCCAAGTAAACTAGAAAGCAAAGGAATTGTCATAACACAAGTGTGCATGTGAGGAAACCAAGGCACATGCAGGAAAGAAGCAGAGCAGAAAAGAAAGGAGGGAACTGCATGTCTCCAGCCTGGTGCTCTCATCATGCAGCTCCTGGCCTGGCCATTGAGTAGATTTGAGCGTGACTTTCCATGATCAATGTTGCCCCAAGCTTTAATGATCTAACAGTCTCCATGCTGAACCCCTCCACAGCCTGCAGCACAGCCCAGGTCACACAGATCAGCCAGCCCCTTGACTTGAAAGAGGGAGCAAGGCTGCTGGGCAGCTCAGCCCTAAGGGGTTTTCCATCCATCCA